GAGAGAGAGAGAGAGAGAGAGAGAGAGAGAGAGAGAGAGAGAGAGAGGGAGGAAGGAGACAGAGACACAGAGACAGAGACAGACATTTTCTGAATTCTTTCTATTTTTTTCAAAGCCTTGCATGCATAAGCTCTTATCTCCCTGGCCACAGCATTCTCATTCATCAGTACTATAGTTTTCATTCCCAATTCTCTGCTAATAACCCCCAAGATACCCAGAAAACTGGTCTTCCTCCAGTCTCTCCAAAGCATCAACTTTCTATGGTGGGATCTGCATCTGTTCTATTGTGTGTCTGGTCCTGTCTGCGTGACCAATGCATCCCTGTCCTTACTCTACTCATTGACAACCCTAGATCTCACAACTTAGCTGTCAGCAGGTCCTAGCTACACGTCCAAAGCTGTTGATAATCAACTTGCTGACTCAGGCCTTGGTTTCTTCCTGAACTTTAGACCCTCTTGATCCATCGGACATGTTTTCCTGAATTTTTGTGCAGAGCCCTGTAACTCTTAGAGTAAAGGGGAGTCCACCACATGGGCAGACTCTCAACAGTGATTTCTAAGTCAGTGGGGCTAGAAGCCAGGCAGCTAGACAGTCAGTGACTGTGAGGAAGAGATATAGGCAAGACAAGCAAGACTGGTGGCAATTTTCACATGGGAATGAAGAAGAGAGAGGAAACAAGGGTGACTGAGAATGTTTGGTGTTTGATGTTGGGGAAGTGGGAGTCAGGATCCAGGACAGCATAAAAGAAGAATGCTTAGAAATTATATGAGGTGCTCCATCCTCCGCAGAACATGTGTGGAGATCCAGGAGCTATACTAGGGAAACTGAAGCAGGCGAAGGAACTGGCAATCAGTTAGCATACTCGTTCACTATCTTTCCCTTATATCTATTACAAAAATCTTGACTTTGGCAACAAAAGCTTGACATTTTCAGATGAAAATAGCTCTCCGTTGAAGCCTGACATGGTTTAGAGCACTCCAACACAGTGTGGTTGTAGAGAAACCCATCTGGAAAGAACATCAATATTTAGTGTCAGGAAACAATACTTGAAATTCAATGCATGAGAGTCTTTGCTACCCGCGCCATTCCCACTCCTCCACAAGAAACACCGCTTCCTTGCAAGGCCCTCTGGGGTTCCCTGTAAACATTACCTCTTCCACTGAAGAGATAGATATCCCTGGTTGAGCACGCGCCATCTTCCTCCATGGTACATTTACCCTCACCTGCTACACATTTGCCATTCATAAACATGCTGCAGGTCATACATATTCTTGCTTGAGCTAGAAAAGAAAACCTGACATGGGCTAACCAGGCTAGGACCAACATGCATGAGAACAGTTAAGGGATGAAGCATCAGGATAAAACTTCTCATAACCTAGGACTGAAAATATCCTTAGATGGCCTCCACAAGGCTGTAAGCTTATGGGAGCGATTGACCTGTGGATCTGAATTCCATTAACCATAAACATGCGTTTGCACTTTTAGTCGGTAAAGTTGTGGTATGCTAATTATTTCACATAAAAGCTGCTTTTTACAAAGGGAATCAATAGAGCTGGAACTACGGCTCAGCGATTAAGAGCAAGCACTGTTGCTGCAGAGGATCAGAGTTCCCCTCTAGGCACGTAGGTCAGGTGGCTCACAACTGCCGGTGACTCCAGTTGCAGAGGCTCTGACATCTTCTCCTGGACTCTGCAGGCACCTGCGTTTATGTGCACAAATGCACATACACACTCAGACACATATATGTAATTAAAAAAATAAAACATAAAAAGTGAACTAAAGAAAAATGTGCTTTTGTCAGTGGATGTAAACACGACTACAAGGCAAGATATAAGGGAATGTGATTGGACAAATCAAACCCACATCCCACACTTGCACAACACTCAGAAATTTAAATTTCACTCCCGAAAACCTATCTGCACCCCACTGGTACCATTTTGATTAATACTGTGTATTTGCTGAGGGCTGGCAAGATGATTTACCCAGTAAAGGCAATTGCTCCAAAGCTTGACAACCAGAGTTTCATACCTGGAACTCACATGGTAGAAGGAAAGAACTGATTCCCACAAGCTCTCCTCTGACATCCACACATGTAATGTAGTATACTTCTCTCAACCCAACACACAGATAAATAAACAACATTTTCAAAGGACGGTTAATGACAAGTTCCTACAATGGTCTCTTCCAACAGATGACCGTGCTAGGCAGCTTCTACAGATAAAGTTTTGAACATCGATTGATCGCGACTTGGAGACTGGCAGGGAGATTTGAGGAATAGGAATATGAGAACACACAAACTCATTCTTACCCAGGGAGTGACTGACCCCTGTCGGAGAACTGGAGAGAGACCTGACCTCTTACTCCAGCAGGTGCAGAGTGGAATCAGCACAAAGATCCCCATCCTACTGGGTCAGCTAGTGCCAGAATCCTGACCTTGATCTCCCTCGGCTCCCACACACTCCCAGCCCAGCTATCCAGGCCACCATCCCAGGTCTACTCCAGCCATCTCCAGTCCCTGTCCTTGCCTCGTTTCAGCCTCTGAGGACTCTCTCACCTTGGAAGAACACAAGAGTCAAAGCCCCCAGCAGTAGGAGAAGGAGCATGAACTTGCCCATCTCAGTCTGAACTGGCAGAGGACACAGCAGAACAGGGGTCTGCAAGAACTCAGGAGAAATCAGGGTAATGAGAACAGGCTGCAGAGTTTGCTCTGAGCTGCTCCCAGGATGTGGGCAGGAGCTTCCTTCCACAGCTGCCAGTGGGTGTTTCACCAGTGCCCAGGTTCAGGAAAGCATCTCACAGAACCAGTTCCTTCAGAACTCCAGGGGGCAAAGGATGCCCCTGGATTCCTCTCATATTCCTTTATGGGTGAAACTAGGATTATTCATTTCCTAAGTGAGATCCCTAAGGTTGAGTTCAGAACAAAGCCATGAACCTTTCTTCCCTGGTTGGCATTGAGCTGAGGAGTTATAACAACAGAGCCTTGGGTATGTTCTGTGGTTCAGGATCTGCATTCATTATACCATGTCTCACGTGTCATAGATCTCTATTCTCCAAGGAATCTAAAAAAGTGTATCAAATGTCATCCAAACAGCATATATGTAGCAGAGGTAATAATAATATATCATGGGTTGCTTTTCCAAAATACGAATCATTTCCTGTTTCATTTGAGTCTTATTTATTTATTTATTTATTTATTTTTTATCACAAACACAGACCCACACTCAACTAACCAAGAAGACTTACCTAGACACAGACTCTCAGTTTCTGAGCCATCCTGATAGAAAGGCTCAGACAGAATTTCCATGCATACTTCTTCATAGGTTTATCCTATATGTGGTGTACAGGGCACAAAATACAAATAATTTTTTTCTAATTTTCAAAGTTATACCTTTCTACTAATATACTCTTCTACCTAGAGGCTTCAGATATTTGATCATGCTTCATAGAAATAACTAAACCTCCAGACATTCATGATCTAGTCAAGGGGAAAAGAAGGAGCAAGCATGAAACAAATTCACTGACTCGGCAGGCTGGAGTTAGGGAACTTCCTGGAAGGCAGGAGTAGCCAGCTTCTCGCTACTGCTGCTTCCTCCCCAGCTTGTACACTCCACGCTACTTCTTCATTGAACTGCTCAGTCCTTCCTACTAATAGTAACAATGCAAAATGACAACAATGTTCAAAAGCCATGGCTAGGGAGGCCAGAGGCCTTAGAGGGGAACCGACTGCTGAAGTTTTGTTAAATGGATGTGTTTATAAATTCCCTTCTAAGTGTTAATGTTTATATCCATAGACTAATGTTGCTCTTAGCCTTGGTCAGAGAAACTTCGTTTTGCTGTGGACTTTAGGTAATGTGGAGACTTATGGCTGGTCAAAGTACTGAGAATAAGTGATTGTTGAGTATCAACCCTGTACAGGACATCTGTCTGTGTTTCCCAATCTAAGACTCACATTGAGATCCCGGATTGGGGATCACAATGAAACAAGAGGTGGAAAGAATTTAAGATCCAAATGATGAGGAAGAATGCTGTGAAGTGCTGGCTTTTGGATGAGACATGATGTTGTGCCCATGAACTCCCAGTGGCTCTTTGCAGAAGACACACCCTAAGCTGGGCTTATCAACATTCCATCGTGAATAGAATGGAAAGGGACTCATGCAGCCCCACTCGTACATGAGGAGCTACAGATAGTTAAGGGTCCCTGGAAGAGGAGGAATTAGTGGTGTAGACACTGGTAAGCAGCAGTTAGTTATTCAAGTTAATAACCCCACACTCGTGACCATGCAAGCAACCCTAATTCAACACAGTAGGTTACACAACAAAGCAAAAAAGAAAATGGAAATCAGAGGGTTATTTATTTATTTTTTTTGGAGGAGTGGAACTAAGTTAGAGGAGGATAATGGAGGGAATATTGGCATCAAAGTCATTAGATACACAAGTCCTAGTTAGGGGTTCTACCTCTGTGATAAACGCCATGACAACACACAAACAAACAAACAAAACAAACAAAAATTGCGGAGGAAAGGGTTTATTTCATCGTCCAGCTCTCAGATTCTACTCCATCACTGAGGGAAGTCAGGGCAGGAACTCCAAACAGGAACCTGGAAGCAGGTACTAAAACAGAGGTCATGGAAGAGCGGGGCTTACTGTCTTGTTCCTTATGGCTTGCTCAGTCTGCTTTCTCATACAACCAAGGACACTTGCCCAGGAGTGACACTCACAGTGAGCTTGGCCTTCTTGCATCAAAGATTACTCAAAACAATTCCCCTTGGGTGTGCCCACAGGCCAATCTTATGGAGGCATTTTCTTAATTAAGGTCCCTTCTTTCCAGATATGTCTAGGCTTGTGCCAAGTCAGCACAAAACAACTAGCACAACATGAAAGAAATATAAAAGAATATATTTTAAAAAGAAAGGAAACATCAGGACCACTGAAGATATCTTTTAATTACCCTATGCGCAACACCAGGGGTAGCATAAACTAACATCTCTGGGCTGACTATATAAGTGGCCTAAAGGGTTGCCTCTCTAGCAAGAAAGGAGCTCATGGCAAGGATGTTTGCACTCATCCCTGCATAGCTACTCATGCAGAAAATGACTATTTTATTTTATTTTATTTTATTTTATTCTTTACCAACCACAAGTCTTTTAGTGGGCCACCAAAGAAGTGCTCCCTGCCTGACCTCGATCAAAATGACTGGTTATGATGGTAAAGAGTCTGATAGAAGCTATTTTGAAGCAATGGTGATTAGAATAGTGTTTCCTAGATTCAGAGTTGTGCTATGGTTGGCATATAGCTTCCTGGGTGTACGCATGAGAATGTTTAGACCATCTGGGCTGCTGGCAGTCTACCGCCCAAGGCAGAAGGGGCTAGTGAAGGGACTAACAACCGTCAGCTCACTGTGACCCTTAGCATTTTACCCAATTCAAAAGAAAAATAACTAGTTAAGAAGCACAGACGAAGACCCACATTGGAGCACCGGACTGAGCCCCCCAAGGTCCAAATGAGGAGCAGAAGGAGGAAGAACATGAAAAAGAAAATCAGGACTGCGAGGGATGCTATCACCCATTGATACAAGGGAACGGATCTAATGAGAGTTTACCAAGGCCAGTTGGACTGAGACTGAACGAGGACGTTATCTAACCAGATTCTCGGAATTTGGCCAGATTCTCTGAATGTGGCTGGCCCGAAGTCTTTCTAAAAAGCCATTGACTATGATACTGGGACTTGTTTCCTCTGCATATACTGGATTTTGGGGATCCAGTCTGTTTGGATACTCACCTTCCTGGACCTGGAGGGAGGGGGGAGGAACTTGAACTTCCCACAGGGCAGGAAACCCTGAATGCCCTAAGGGACGAAGAGGGAGGAGGAGAGGGAGTGGGGGGAGTGGGAGGGTGTTGGGAAGAGGGGCAGAAATGGAAACTTTTGTAATTTAATAAAATTTACTCTCAAAAAAAAAAAGAAACAGAAAAAAAAGAAGCATGTTTACAGTGAAGGCCTCTCATCAACATTAACCATAATTTTACAGTATTTGACAGTATTTTAGCAGTATTCAATATTTCTCTGCTTTAGTCAAAGACCAGTAAGATGGGGGCTCATTTTATGTCTCTCCAATATGGCATTTTAAATTTGGTGTCCTTTACTGCGCCATAGCTCTGCAGCCTGGATTCTCCCATACTCCCGTGTGTGAGGCATGGGCTCTCCCTGCAGGTAGAGGCAGGAAGGATGGAGTGAAACAGAACAGATAGGCTTCCCTGAAGGCATGTCCGATTCCCAGCCAATATTTCCAGACTATAATTCCTCCTAGAAGCTCACTTACTTTCATCTGAAGCTCATTCTTTTGGGTTCTTCTCAACCCTAAAAGCACTTTCATGGTTGACTCCTGAACAAAATGAAACGGAGCCTGTGTTACAGAAGTGGCAGCTGACCACAGAGAAGTCCATTTATTAAAAGGCACTGGTAGTAGACCCAATCAGCAGACAGTTGCTCCTATCTCCACAGAGGGCTAGTTACTAAGTCAAGGTCCCAAGATAAGCTGGGCTTGGAGCACCAGCCTACTCACAGGACCGCTGTCCTGAGTGTGATGGAGAAATTACTGTTGCTAACTGTGTCTCTGCTCTGCCTTCTGGTGAGGATCGCTACAGAGGCAGTGTTGGGCAGTGGTGTGCAGGTGATGAGTGGCCGTCAAGGAGCTAGCCTGGGTTAGGTACAGTGCCACATACGTGCTGACCCTCAGCTACAGTCATGCATGTTATTTTCATTGAGGCTTTTTTTTTTATAGGAATAAGGACATGGCTCAGTTGTGGAACACTTGACCAGTGTGCAACAAACGGCGTTCAGTCCCAAGAACTTCAATGAATAAGCACACTATATAACATTAATGTGGTAACCAGATTCTCTTAATTGATCCTCAGACATCTGGGTTTAGGTATGGAATGACTCACATCCTAGAAAGCTCCCTCTCCCACCCAGTAACAGTGATAGTTACACATTTCTATAACTGCACATTAGAATAGTCCTGAAAGTATGTAGATAAACATTACCTCTAGTTAAGTCACTGTGTATTTTATTTCTGATACATGATTTTATGTTATTTTAAAAATTATACACAGTAACCAATGTTTTTTCCCTCCTTTTATTGAAAAGAATATTTTTTATTCATACATTCTGATTACCGTTTCTCCTCCCTGTACACTAGAAACCAGCCTTACAACTTTACATTCAAAAGACAATTCTTCAAACTTCTAATATTTTTGCAAACTGCACCAAAGACTTGGGGTGGTGATGCACATTTTATAACCCCAACACTAGACAGCTTCAGACCAGTGAACCAGAAACTCAAGGTTATTCTCTGCTGCATAGCAAGCGAGAATCAAGCCCTCTGGGACGTATAAGACTCTTCATTAACAAATAAGTAAATAAAAATAAATTTAAAATGAAATACAAATAGATAAAATAAGAGTTGTGGGTAATGCCAGTCATTATGTATGAATGGCTTTCTGGTGTATTGGACAATAGATAAATCTGTACTTGAAGACATAATAGTTATTATTCCTCTTCAAAAATGCAAAACATAAAGCACATATCCAGTCAGCAACTTTGAGAAAATCCCAAGTTG